TACACAGATCACAAGAGTTTGAGGTATCTGATGGATCAACCAAATCTGAACATGAAGCAGTGCAGGTAGTTGGATGTGGTAAAGGATTATGATTGTGAGATCCTTTATCATCCTGGGAAGGCCAATATGGTGGACGATGATCTTATTCGCAATAAGACTACCACACCGATCAATGATATGTGTTTGAGGATGACAGTGGTCACTCCATTGCTGGAGCAGATTAAGGAGGCACAGATTGAGGCTATGAAGGAGGAGCACCGGAAGAGCGAGCGTATTGTGGGACAGGTGCCTTCTTTCGATTACGATAGCCGGGATTTGTTGACTCCTCATCAGAGAGTGTGGGTTCTGTACTTGGGTGGTACCCGTCAGGTTTTGATGGAGGAGGCACACAAGTCGAGATTTTCTATTGATCCCGGTGCGACAAAAATGTATAGAGACCTTCGATTTGATTATTGGTGGCCCTGCATGAAGCGGGATGTGGCCTGGTATGTGGAGAGGTGCTTGACTTGCAGTAAAGTCAAGGTCGAGCGTTAGCAACCTCACGACAAGTTGTAGCCATTAGACATTCCCGTTTGGAAATGGGAAGAGATTACTATGGATTTCATCATGAAGTTACCACGTACGGTGCGTGCGGTGGATTTGATTTTGTCCTCAACCTTATCTTATGATTGTAGGTTGGAAATGATAGATTCACATGGATGGGAACACATATACACCATAAAATCTAGGTGGCAAAAGGTTTCGCTCTAATTCATGAAAATGATTATGAGGAGATACTTTCGCTAATAGATTTTAAAGATTGATAAATATCATTATGGTTAGTAATTGTGATAATTGCATTCTCAAATTTGAAATATGATTACGAAATCCCTTTTCATAGTTCGAATTGTGAGAAATGGCAAGAAACAGTTTGAACGTTCAAGACTTATAGCTATAAGTTATGAAAGGGTTTAAATACACACATGTGCTATCTAATGAAGGTGTATAAGCTTGAGAAGTCTAATTAGAGACTTGTCGGAGCATTACGTATCAGAAATCTGAACTTTAGTAAGAAAGTCAATAGTTTTCATTTCTAGAATTCTAGTTCGTTTCTGGGTACATGTCAAAGCTAGTAGGAGCATAATTGTTGTGCTAGTGGGAGCATAATTGTTATGCTGAGTGTTGCAAGTTGGCAATACTAATTCTAGGAAACAAAGATTTCAAATTTGCAAATTGCAAAGTTTGGGAATTGTTTCGCTATATAAAGATTTAGGGGAGAGGGTACTCATACTTCATTTCAAATCTAAAAGGTTTAGATTGAAAGTTTAATAAAACTTAGTCTTGGTCATATATGAATATGGTGTTGAAATGTTTCAGCATAGGAAATTCGATATATGAAAATATTATAGCAAGAGACTGATCAGATATCATGCGTTTATGTAAGACATTATGTATCGAGTCCTATATTCTTCAGATATAGGATTGTTTACATATACTATAATATTCACTTGTTCTGATTTTTCCAAATGTCTTGAATATCAAGAGAGAAAAAGGACTTGAACTTGGTATGACTAAAGTTGTTAAAAGCCTCCCTATATAAGGAAGGGAATAGGCTGCTTGGTCAACAAGCAAATGGATTATGGTTTCCTCCTTAAACCCTAGCTTTGGCACCAAGCTACCTCAACTATATAAAGGCCTCCCTAGCACATAATTTCGTCCATGTCTTCCCTCTAAGAGCCTTGGACGAAATCTCGGTCCTCTCTCTCTCTGTATAGTTTTCCTCTTGCTAGTGTTGGGTGTGAAGCATTAGAGACACGACATTTGTGGTGCTTGCTCTCTAAGCTTCAACAACACCAAGGAATTGTGTTGTTATTATTATGTAACAATTAAGGTATGTATTCTAACCCTGGTTATATGAATTTCGAAAATAACATATACCTCCTAGGGTTTTCCATTTGATGTTCAAGAGTTGTATGTTCAATTAGAGAAAACATAGGTCCAAGATTTTAGGGTTGCTAGCACACATAAGAATTGTTTGTTATGCTCAAAACTCATCCTTTATATCAGGGAGGTTGTGGCACGACATGGGGTGCCAAGCTCGATCATTTCAGACAGGGATGTCCGGTTCACTTCTAGGTTGTGAAAGAGGTTTCACGAGGATTTGGGTACCCGTCTGCATTTTAGCATGGCTTTCCACCCGCAGAATGATGGTCAGAGTGAGCGGACCATCCAGACACTAGAGGATATGCTTCGGGCATGTGTATTGGACTTCGGTGGGAGTTGGGATACGTATCTCCCTTTGGCGGAGTTTTCGTATAACAACAACTATCACGCCATCATTGATCGACCTCCCTTTGAGATGCTATATTAGAGGAAGTGCAAGACCCCGATATGTTGGGTGAGGTCTGGCAGCGAGTCATGGGGAGTACTGAGGTAGCACTCAAGACTACTGAGTTGATTCAATAGGTACGAATTAGACTTCAGACAACACAAAGTCGGCAGAAGAGTTATGCCGACAAGCGCCGATCAGATCTAGAGTTTTAGGTTGAGGACATGATACTCTTGAAGGTGTCACATTGGAAAGGTGTCATCCGATTCAGGAAGATGGGCAAGTTGGGCCCCAGGTATATCAATCCTTTCAGGGTTTTGGCTCAGGTGGGCAGGGTTGCTTATCGCTTAGATCAACCCGAGGAGCTCATTCAGATCTATAGCACGTTTCACGTCTCTCAACTGCGGAAATGTTTGGTCGATGATTCCGTAGTGGTCCCATTGGAAGATATTCAGGTGGATGATTGCATGAATTATATTAAGAGACCGGTTGCCATCCTCTACAGAAAGACGAAGACTTTGCGGAACAAAATAGTGGGTCTGGTAAATGTGCAATGCCAGCACCAAAAGGGTTCAGAATGAACATGGAAGCCAGAGGATGAGATTAGGGGTCATTATCTGGAGTTATTTGCAGCGGCATACTTCGAGGACGAAGTCTGATTCAACTTGGGAGAATTGTAACATCACTACTTAAAATTAATATATAGTTAATACCATATTCACTTATTAATGAATCGATATAATAATATTTTTTATTACCACACCAACTAAAAAAAGGTTAAAGAGTTAAAAATAAAAAAAATAAAAATAAAGGATAAATATTGTGTACTATAACAATTGACTTGCTACATATTAAGTCACTAGGTGTAAAACTCGTGTATTACACGGGTTGATTAAAAAAGAAATTAAATATTAAAGTGTAAACAATAAATATTTTTTAAAATAAAATTTTGAAATAGGAAATAAATAAATGTATTAATTGCAATTTAATATCATATTTATGACATTTAATACTTTACATATATAAATATATAAATATTATGTGACTTTTTAATTTTAAAATTTGAAAAACCTAAAAATTGACATGTGGGTATTATTTATTTCAAAAAATATCACAAAATGACAAATGTCAAAACTCATGAGAGATTGACATGTGGCAAATTGAATCTCCATTTATTATAGTTGATGTGTTTCGTATTTCGTATTTTATTTGTGACTGTAAAAGTATATTTACTTTTATGTCTCCATGCCGCCAAATCAATATTTAAGTTTTGGATATTTATATTTATAATCCTCCTTAATAAATAAAAGTTTTTTTTGCCACATATCAATCTCTTATTAGTTTTGACATTTGTCATTTTGTAGTATTTTTGAAATAAATATTATCCACTTGTCAATTTTTGATTTGTTTCAATTTTTAAAATTAAAGTCATATACTTATTTATGTAAAGTATTAAATATCATATATATGATATTAAATTGCAATAAATACGGTTCTTACTTTCTTATTTTAAAGTTGTACATTAAAAATATTTTATGTTCACACTTTAATTTAATGTTTAATTTTTTTTAAATCAACCCGTGTAATACACGGGTCTCACACCTAGTAAACATTAAAACATAGGTAGTCATACCAAGATGTCCAAAAGCTCGGTCCTAATTTTTATGGATTTCGTTTATGGTTGATTTTTAGTCAATTATGGGCTGTTAATCCATAATGTTTGAACCGAGCATATAAAAATTTAAATTAGAATCGTGAAGTACAAAATTTATATCATTCCTTAATTAATGGGATATTAATTCTTAATATATTCAAATTATTTAAGATTACATTGCTAAATTATTAAGATATTTCTAATCAATTCAAAATCAAAATCAATATCCTTATTAAACTATTCAGCAGAAAATTATTGATAGATGACACTTGTCAGTGTCATTAGAATGCATAAAAAAATAAATGATAAGGTCTCTACAATATGTACATTTGGCAAAATATATTTTCATTTATTAGATATATATATATATATATATATATATAGATATAAATTGGGTAGAGTATTGAGCTTGAACTGATTTTTCTTTAACCAAAATTTATTTACAACCCTTTTCACTTAAATTAGATTTCGTCCACGAAATCATCCCATACTACTTCTTTCATACCAGAAAATCCTAACGGAACTCCTTGAATTCCATTTAAACTCGAAGAGTCACACCGATGACTGCCCACTCATACCGCTGTTAAGCCCAACCTTAGCCGAAGCCACATATCCTAAAGAAGAACGAACCTCAATTCCCTTTTTCCTTAGCCACGAAACATTCAACCGCTATGCCTGAAACCGAAAACCATATGCAACGTTTGACTTCCGGACTGACAGAACTATTCCAATTCATTCACACAATGACTCAACTTCGCAACACGGGCCGAACAAACCCCTCCGTCTTGAACAAATTACATAAGAATTATAGTTACCCAAAAATTATAGATACCCAAAACATGTACACCTCGACCATTTACGGATGCCGAAAATCCTGATTCGAAAACAAAATCAGTTTCCGACTCAAATTACTTAATTTCTTATTTATTAGAGTATATTTTTTCCTTTTTATGGAGTATGGACTATCGGTTTCTAGGATCGAATAACACAAACTGGCCTGAACCCGACCCGATTTCTGTATTTATCAACAAACAAACAAAAGGAACAAATGTTTCTCTCTCTCGGTCACTCTAATTTTGGCCGTTTTCGTCAAAATCCTAACTGCTGCTCCTCTGAAACAATGAAGTTTTGGGGTAACGAATCATCTCTCTTTCATTTGTTTTCGAATATCTACACGCTCATTCAATGAAATATTTGTTTTTTTTTTTTTTGACCTTCTTTTGGTTTTGATGATGATGCAATCTTGATGATATTCATCGTTTTGTTGTGGTTTCGTTCACAAGCTTTGTTTGTTTATGTTTCATGTGGATAGTAGATGCTTCGTATGTATGTTACTTTTTTATTTTTTGTCTGTGACGGAAATTAACTGGAAGGAATTTGTGTTTGGGGAGGTTGTTCTGGTATGTGTTTGATCCCGTGTTGATTTGATCCTAGTTTGTGTTTGTTATTAGGAAAGAGGATGTGAAAGTGTTGGTCTAGATTTAAAGTTGTGTTATCTCTTTTCCATGTTGGTAAGGAAGACTGTTAGAACTTTGTTTTGAGGTATGTGGTACATGTATATGAATTATATGTTTTTGCTGTTTGTGTATTTATGTATCTGCCTCCTGCATCTGCATGTTACTAAAGCCTGCCTTGTTTGAAATCGGATTTATGAGATTGCATTTAGGAGTGGTACTCTTTGCAGCAATATGTTTCAAATATGGTGGTGATTGTGGCCTGGTTGAAAACTCATATTCCATATTGTTTTGATTCAGGTGTTGAAGTGAAAGGAGCTCAACGGTTAAAAGTAAAGCTTGGAGGCCGATCTTTATGTCTTAGATATGTATAACTTTTGAAACAGTGGGATATGCTGTTTTGCTGTATTTACAACTACCAATACAACTAACTAAAGTTGTTTGTAATCAGGCTACAATCGGAGAAATTAAGGAGGAAGTAGCTGAGGTTATTGTGCACGTCCATGGCAAAAACAGAAAGCATAAACTAGCAACTCTTAAACCTAGGACGGGACCACAACAACTACTTGATTGGATGCTTGAGGAAGACTTTACGATTACACATACTTTAACCAATGGGAGTGTTTGCTTACTTGGAGGCATAACAAGAAAATCTTATAAGGATTATCCATATCCTAAACATGCTACTGTTTTACTAAGTTAGAATCTAAGTTTATATTGTTTTATTATTTGATATCCTTGACCAAAGTTAGGTGTTCTGTGATCACTTGCTTTAGACGTATTATGGATGATGTCTATGTCCATGATGATGATGATGATGAAGAGGAAGAAGCAGGTCCGTCTGCCACAGGTATTGTGTGTTTTCTATTAAGAGTTTTCATAGATGTTTGAAGCTTGTGTTCTAAATGTATTTTTGATGTTTGCAGAAACTTTGACAGAATCCTAGTTTTTTGAGAGTGAAGTGCAGATTTTATTAAAGGCTGATGACAACAATTTCTAATATCATGATGTTATTTTCAGCAAGTTAATTATAATTAAAGTTGTGGTCATTTGTTTGTTTTCCTTTTACCGGGTCCTATTCTTAAACAATATGGAGTGGAATGCTAGATGGATGATGCTTACAAGTCTGGTGGATTGTTTTGAAAACAATGTGGAGTGGAATGCTAGATGGACGATGCTTTAATATTAGTGGGTCTTTAGATTGCTTGCTCTACTTTTTTCTAAAAGTGTTTATTAGTTTATCTGGTTTTAAAACAAAGTTTTAAAAATAAAAGTGTTTGTAATTATGCCATTTTATTTTAAGTATTCAGATCAAATGAGATATGTGACTAAGATTTGTTCTCACATTTTCAATTACATAATTGTTATTATTTGAGCAGATAGTTTAGAGACACATTTAGTGATATTGTTAGCGTCAGTGATACAGTGAGTATTGATTAAAGTTTTAATGTTTTATTTATAAAACACGTACTCACAAATCTACTCTTAAAATCTTTCTTAAGACAATCAACGTTATAGAAAGTTTGTTTAGTCTCATTTCTTTTTATTGAAGAGATAGCACCCTCTAAATTGTCTCCAAGAATTTTCTAACACTGATATCCTTCTCATCAACCGGCTCATCGTAAGTACGTTTCTCCTTCCACCGACATTTTGCTAAAATTTCTGATATCTAATGGTGAAGTTCATTCTGTGCACGAGATTCTTGGCATGTTTTCTCAATGATCCGTTAGCAATATTGAGTATGATGATCTATCAAAGCAGTCTATTCCTTGTAACATCTCGTCCAAGCCTCATGACAAAATTTTATCTGAGCACATCATCGATGACACTCCTAGTTCCGGTTCAAAATCAAAAACTCTCAAATCTAATTATCAAAGTTTTTCTGATGCTTATGATAAGAAACAAAAGTCAAATGTTAAAAGAAAGAATCTTGGAATCAAAGCTTATTGTCATTGTGATGCTATATCTCATAAAGTTAGCGAGTGCACTTTTGATAAGGATTAAGTTCGTGCTAATAACATTGTAATTCGCAATAATAAGTGGATTAAAAAGGGAGAATTCATTAAATTGTCTCCCTGATTTTTGTTGTAACATTTTTTCTTAAAAGAACCCATTGCAAGATGGGTCAGTGTATATTAACCAAGTACTTTAGTTTCAAAGCATGTTGGGTGTGTTGACAACGAGTATGTTGGACTAATGACGTACCATAAAAGTCTTATTGATAACTTCGTAAAGAAAGAAAAACACGTTGATTTTTGAAGTGACAGTGAAAGTGCAGTTCAAGGCTTTCTCTTTCTCTGATGGTAATAAAGGAAAAGTCATGGAATCAAGTTCATCAATTAGGCTCATTGTTTTCAAAAAAACTATCACTTACATGTTTTAATTTTATTTATGTTCAACAATTCTATAGTATGCATCTATCTACCTTATTTATGTGCTTTTAAACATATTTTTCTATTTTTTTGGGTATAAAATTCTTAAATAACTTCTTTTGGGTTCTCTACCAAAGGAGTTTACATCTGATATTTTTCTTCTAACATCTTCTATTTGAAAGATTTTCTTCTCTACTTGTTTGCTAAACTCCGGAACTTCCATCTCCTGCTTGACGTTGCCATCCTTGCTTGGCGTTGATCTTCATTAATCATAATATTCATTGTTTCTCTCCATGAAGAAAACTCAGTCCCATCAACTCTGATGTCAAACAACATCCAAAAGAACCACCCTTGATGATTAAATTGGATGAATGATTTGAATGAAACTTAAAGGCCTTCTCAACAAAACAGTGGCCCTCTTTGTTTCTCTCATGGATTTCAAACAATGAAACCTTCGAGTACTATCTTGTTGACCGTTGTAACTCGAAGGTTATAAAGATTGGATCCTTCTAACTCATTGATTACAAAGATTGGTTCTTGATATTCTCTTGTTCTTGGTGAACATGAAGCTTGGAATCCATCTGCAATATCTCAACGGTTAAAGGCATTCTCACTCTTTGTTTACTATGAATTGTGGTTCTTGTTTGATATGATTTGGTCCTATGTATTCTTTTATAGAAAATGTTGATGGACAGATATCTCAGAGAAAGAAAAGATTTTATGACCATTTAATCCAAAATATTTGATGGATCGAGCCTTTAACTCGTTGCCTGATAAAGCTGCAAAGATATCGTCTAAAAAATAGTTCATTGTTTGACTAACTTGTTTGTTTTATTCTCTTCTCTCTTATTTCTTTATTGTACCCTTTGAAGGAATTGATGGAGAATCTTTTGTGATTCTAGACTGCACCTCAACCCTATGATGCAGAAGTTAAAACACTTCCTGTTGATGGGTAACTCCGTTTATGATTCACATTGATTCTACCTCAGCTTGACTAAAATAATCTAGTCTTCCCTTATTTTCTTCTTTAAAGAACTTAAAGATTCACTGTAAGAAGCCACACACTGATAAAACTTTGAAACTCTATGTCGACGGTTAGTTTATGTACTGTAGATTATCACACACACACCAACCCCTTCTCACCCTGATATTCTTCTATAAAGTTTTATGATTCATCCTTATGTACCATACGCTGATGAGAGCTTGAAAAATCTATGATGATGGTTAAGCTAAAATACCACATCTTATCACATGCATCGAATCATTCTTACCATATTCTTCTTTAGAATTTTATGATTCGGCGTATGAAGATGAGAATTCGAAAACTCTATGTCGATGGATATATCATTGTCTGTGATATACTACACACACCTACCCATTCTTTCCCAACAACTCTTCTATTAAGTTAATGATTCAACTTATCAACCATACACTGATAAAACTTCGAAACTCTTTGTCAATGGGTACATTTCATACCAGAATGTATTACACGCATCATACCACTCGTGCGCTTCTTCTTCTAATAAAAGTGGTTAATGAGTCAGCGTATGAGACCACATGCTGATGAAACCTCACAATACTATGTCAATGAATGGTAGTTTAATCCCATGCTATCAGGAGACATCATCCCAATTGTTGTTACTCTGTCTTGCTGATACTCATGCTGACGCTGATTTATTTCTTCCGCTGATACTCTATACTGCTGATGACTTGTCTTATTGATGCAATAACATGATTTGACACTGCAACACTTTACTCGTAACGGTAGCTTTACAACGGTCATCTTCAAAAAATATAGCCGTTGTGAAATACTTATCTATGGATCATGGCTTACTCGTTAGCAATCAAAGAATTTTTCTAGATCATCCTCAGAAGCTTCAATCTTCATCAAAAATCTTGTTCTTCAAAAGAAATGGCTCCAGTCCTATTCACATACATCCCATCATCTCAAGTCATCAAAGCTTCAAACTCACCAGACACTCGCATTATGATTCAAGCAAACAATGTTGCCTTCGATGATACCATTCTTAATCAGCATCAAAATTCTGGCATTGAAGAATTTGTGTTGTACCTAAAGAGTTTTCCACTTCGATACGCTCTCAGCGATGTTCCAGAACGTTTCTTCCCAAATCAAGTTTGTGAATTTTACTACTCATGCACTTTTGATAGCAATTCTCAAAATATATCAGGAACTATCGAAAAATGGTAAATCAAGGGTTCACATTTCAGCAAACACCATTCATTAGGTTCTACGTCTTCCTCTCTTGGAAAGCTACGAATGAACTCCCTCTGAAGTCAAATGTAAATCAGTTTTATCTCATCTCAAGTATGACTTCACTCATGAAGAAGGAAAACGTGATCCTACCAAATTCACTCTTCGTCAACAATTTCCTGCTGGTTGGAAGTATTTTACAGGCGTTATTGGAAAGTGTATCAGGCACAAAATTAGTAGTCTAGACCAATTGAACTTGTGTGAACTACGTATACTTTATGCACAGGTTAGAGACAAAAAGTTGGATTTCGCTCAGCTATTTTTTGATCAAATGGTGGAATGTATCATCATAAAAAAGAGAGCCTCATATGTTACATATTCCAGGTGGATAGCTCTACTTCTAGCTTATGCTAGGACGGATTATAGCAGTAAATGTGGAAAATCTATCTCATTTCCTATCCTATCCTCAAAGATCATTAATGTTGATCCCGATGATGGAGATCCTCAACTGTCTGATCCAATGATGGTCTGGATTGAAAATCCATATGAAGCTGAAGATGAACTCATATCAGATCCTGATGATGAAGAAATTCATAATAAAGAAGAAGAAGAAGACTCAGTTTCTTCTTTAAAGAACTTAAAGATTCACTGTGAGAAGCCACACACCGATAAAAGTTTGAAATTCTGTGTCGATGGTTAGTTTATGTATTGCAGATTATCACACACACACCAACACCTTCTCGTCCTGATATTCTTCTGTTAAGCTTTATTATTCAACGTAATGTACCATACGCTGATCAGAGCTTGAAATATGCCGATGGTTAAGCTAAAATACCACAGCCTATCACACACATCAAATCATTCTTACCATATTCTTCTTTAGAATTTTATGATTCGGCGTATGAAGCCAGACGCTGATTGGAAAGCTCTGTGTCGATGGATATATCATTGTCCGTGATATACTACACACACCTACCCATTCTTTCCCAACAACTCTTCTATTAAGTTAATGATTCAACTTATCAACCATACACTGATAAAACTTCGAAACTCTTTGTCAATGGGTACATTTCATACCAGAAAGTATTACACGCATCATAGCACTCGTGCGCTTCTTCT